CTTACTTATATATATATATATATATATATATATATATAGATGCACACACACAAACGCATAGTACACAAGCACACAAACAGGATATTCACAAGCTAACACTTACATTTAGATATACATATTACGTACAAATCGTTCTATGTGTACTTAAATAATGATGCATAAATATATATAATATGCACACTCAGTAAGAAACACAATTTGGAAAAGCATTTATGTTAGAATACTTCGGGAGAATTAACATTAAACAATTCTGGAAAAATTCCCATTTCCTCTTAACATAAAAAAAAATACAAGTGACATAAGTTTTTATAAAGGACTAGTGAATAGTTTCAAATAAAGTAGCAAAATAAAGATTCTCATTTAATGCAATAATCAATTACCTTTCAAAAGGCACAGAAAAAATATCCGAAATGGCACCTTTCTATCAATCACATTTTTATCGATAGTATAACACGTGGCCCGTTATACCAATCCCCATGTAAACGACATATCAGCCTGGACCACCATACCTCCGTTGTTTTCCTCTCACTTCTAATATTGAGTTGCATTACTTCAAAGAAAATATATGTTCCAAAACAGTAGTATGGAGACGATAAACAAGGGCAGTTAAGAAATTATATGGCATTAAAATAGTTTTAGGAGAAAGGACGATCCTAAAAGCTGTCCTGGCATTAAAATAGTTTTAGGAGAAAGGACGATCCTAAAAGCTGTCCAATCACTTTTTGCGAAAATAGCACATAATTAAGGTAACTTCTGAAAAGCGGAAGAAATAGCAAAAGGACATCGTTAAAAGAAAACCACCTAGTTATCCGTCTACTTACCTGTAATAATCATTACAATTTACTAGAAATTTTCAAAATTTGAACTATCAGAACAAATTAAGCACAAAAATGTTTGGGATAAAAAATCGAAAAAACTGGTTAGAAAGTACGAATAAAAAGAAGTATGACAGAAGGAACTCCTGTAATATTAGTATTAGCATATCATAACGGTAAATCCCTTCCGCAATGTTGGGTATGCACGAATTTGCTTTCGTCTTATATCGTCAAACTGCTCTATTTAAATTCCGTTTTAATTTCCAGTATATTTGGAGGAAAATACGTCAAAAAAATGAGATCCATGAAAAACTTGCAAAAAGACACACAGCAAAACCTAAATTATGCCATAACACACGACTAGTAATGCAAACAGTTTTCATGACGAATCTGGATTTCCCATATTTGGAATATCCTTACCATAGATATCTCGAAGATCTTTACCTCGAGGGGATGCAATATACTTCCTGAAACAATCCTACAGCAGTAAGAGATATTTTCTAAACACTTTTAGATTTCAGCAAATTCACACACTAAATCTTTAACAAAACTACTAGTAAAGATAAATCAATTATACATTTTTTTTTTAAAGAAAGGGAAAGTCACTTTCGCTGATGTTTGATAAGTACATCTTTCCTTTGCAAAAGATGTCGCGATGCTTTACCGAACAAGAGCCTGATGACGCCAAAGTTTCTTCGTATTCAGCCACTGATTCCGTTGAGGAATTAGAAGATGATGGCATATCCACGTCATTCCAATTTTCCTGATCTGAATCCTAGAATAATAAATGCAATCGATGGGCGGTAAGTGTTAATTTATTCATTAAGGAATTATATAACTTAGAAAATCCTCAATAAAAATTTTACAAATGCAATATTTTGTTGTTGAAATCGACTGTCTAGAATATTTTCCACAGTTGCCTGTACCGAACCGCTTTCACGTAAGTCCTCCAAAATTGCAGCTATTTCGAGCTGTGGAAACATTTCTCGAACTTGTTCAGCCAAAGAATTCAGCTGTGAATTAGCTGCGCCACCAAACCTGAAATAATGGAACACAATGAAATTTAGATTTTTGTATTAAGTATGAGATGCTAAAAGTTTCTAAGATTAATTTCATGCTGCAAGCCAAACTTAAATTATTTCGAAGTTCAAGATATTAACTGTTTCTTTTGGGATTACCGCTCCTAGGATGTTCAAATCACTGCAGCTCAGTGATTTGAAAAGAAAAAAGGAACTCCCAGTTGTTCACTGAAGTTTTCTTTTTTAATAAAATCAAAAAATGGGAAATAAAACCTGTTACGGTGAAAGAAATTGGGTGCAACATTATGCGATAATTCAACAGAAAATGACGGTAACCAACGTGCGTAACGAGTACCACTAAAATGAAAGACATGGCTAAAAGGCTGTACTACTGGAGCTCGCGACCGTTCTCGCGGTCCTTCTGTAACTGTTGGATTACTCAAAGATGGCAGTGCTAGCCGACAAGTTGGACAAGAATTATCCTGCTCTAACCAACTTCGCAAACACCTGAAAAAGATGAATTTATCCAAAGGTGACATCTAACTGAATTATAATGGTTCAAAGTTCACCAATTCATTCCGGTTTTCTTTCAAGATCAGCTCATGAATGCAAATATAGCTCTCAATCACTCTTCTTGTTTTCAACTGAACTGCTTAAAATTTTTGAGAAGCACCAAGTATTTAAGATATGAAATGAAACTGATTCTAAAATAACACTGAACAACCTCAAGCAATCATAATGGTATTAAACATAGAGAAATTTTGTTTAATTTTAAACTTCTTCTGTCGAAAAGAAAAAAGTATTTCCGACCAAAACTTTGCATTTTCGCTGAGTAACCTTTTTGAGAGTTTTCTATATTCTCTGAGCTTCTTCGAACTAAATTTTAGTTTTATTTCTTGGAAATAAAGTAGTTGCAGTATGAGTACCACTCATGAAAGAAATGATTGCATGGAAGCTTCCGGGCACTGTCCATCTGCTCCCAACATATTGCGCACCAATCTTTCAAATTATTCAATTCGATTTGTGTCGCTTTCTGATAACTGAAAATGCAGCAAAAGATTTAGTCTAAGTCTTTTATGACCAAAAATCTTGCAATCAAAAGATTTTCCTGAATAAAATCATGAGACTTCTGGAACAAATAAAAAAACCAAAATCACTTTTATCTAGAAAATACAAAACATGAAATAAGCAAAACAAAGGAAAAACTAACTGCAAATCGATATGTTTGCAAATACGCTTATATTTGATATGTCGTTCGATACGAGCAACAAATGATTTATAGAATGATCGTAATTGCATGGAAATCACAATGCATGCCATACTTAATACGACTTGTGAATACAGCTGAAATTTCAAACTTGGTTATATTAATATCTGAGGATTAGAAAAATGTAACGCAACTACATCAAATTTTCAAAGGTATATTAAATATCTTGGATACAGGTTGATATAATATAACTTCTGTAAATAAATGAAACTTTAGAAAGTGAAGATGGAATATGCTGCGCAATATTATATATGTCCACAAAATTTCAAGCAGTTTTTCAAGCACTTATTCGCAAATAAAAGTCAGATAATCTGAACTAATGGCAGTTTCATTAGCAGGTAGGGAAATACGGAGTAATCGTGTAAAAAGGTGATACACAAAATAAAAATAAGAAATGCGCACCAGCATATGGGTGTAATGCAGTAAATCGATGCAATCAATAGCAAGATCATGTAAAAATTCCAGATAGTATGTTAAAGTTGCAAAATTGATAGATGATAAATAAACCGAAACATTGTCGAGTAAGAGAGCACATTTGGATATTACGTAAATACTTCGTAATAGCGACTTAATAGCCTGAAAAAAAAAGATGGCTGAAAAAAGCGTTTCGAATTTAATCTCAACCTGAAAATCCTTTTTTACTTCGGAATTGAAATAACTTCGTCCAGCAAATTTAATACCAAATAAAGTAAAATCAATCAATTATAGAAAAAGTGATGATTGATGAGCTAACTACGATGCGGAAGAGATTTATTAATAAATGTAAAGGATGGAAGCAATTTTGAAGCAAGTACTGACAGCAGTAGGTGCTTCCAAAGGAATACAAATGGTCTTTTAAGTATAAGTATACCAACTCACATCAGCAAGCATAAACAAGGCGATGCTGACTGAAAATAAACGGAAAGCGGTTAATGCAAATGAAACAAATGCGAATGATACCAACAGTAAAAGAATGGCCAATCCCATAATACGAAATAAAACTCCTCTTGGAGGTATTGAAGAAATTAACTATAATGAATTTAATGCTAAAATAGAATAAAAGATTTGACCGATTGGATTGATATTACCAACTTTTCCAAAAAGAATGGTACATTATGAGGTGTTGCTAAATTATAAGTCTCGGTATAATGCGTACGGTAAATTTCAAGACATTAGGTAATCTCTTTCTTTTTTTTTCAAGAATTAAGCCCTAAATTATATCGACTTCAAGAAGCTGATTACAATCAATTCACCTGAGTCACTGATTTATTCGACTTTCACTACTACTCTAAAACAGTGGTAGACTAAGTTGACAGATGTTATCAAAACAAAAAAATTTAAAGAATCTTGCAGAGTTGTGGTTGCCTCTAACTGCTTAAATAATGGTATTTAAATCTCCAGTGGTAAATCTAATGTCGTAATTTTCCCCTCAAACTGTAAAGAACCTTACATATTTCAACTTGTAAGCGATAATACTCTGTAAGGCAGCTACTGATGCAAGTAGTGCAAACCACAAGACCCATGCAATAACCTCTTCGTGCACAACACTATTCAACACACCGAATAAAAATACTGCTTTGTAAAGTAAAAAATTGCACAGTCGATCACGTAAAAGTACTGACTCCTGAAAACGAAAACAGACAACAATTATTCAACATCTTAATATTGATATGTCTTAATATCATCTTAATATTGAAATTATCCCAGCACTATAAAGAACGTTTATACTTTTATTGTAATGCTACAGATGTGATTGTAAAACGTGACCACACGTCAGACATAATCACATCAGACTGATTGTCTATCACGGGATACCTATCCATTTAGAACAACGAAATCCCATCAATATGCTAAATGTTGTTTTTGACATTAATCATGGAACAAATTACAAAAACGAAGAAAAGTAGAGAAATGTACTTGGGTTCCTAGTTTCCCGACTGTAGCATGCGTTGCTAACTTCGCAATAAATGCTAAGATTGCACAAAACATATTGATAAAAACCTGAAAATGAGTTATTTTAATGAAATGCATACAAAGATCAAATATTTCTTGTTACTAATCAAACCCTTTGAGAGGAAAAGTTTGAGATCGCAATTGACGAATCTTTTCTCCTTTTCAATTTTTTCCTTTTTTTTTAGCTTTCCAAAGTTAGTTTATACATCTTGCTTCTGGTGGAAAACTTATCCTTCATCATAAAGCAAACGTCATCATTATCAGTAAAAATTTGATGTACATGGATCCAGAGTGAGAAAGAACGTTTCAATTTCCTAGTACAAGTAATCCTTTCATATGTAGCTGCCAAAATTTGAAAATATCCAGTCAACATAATTACTAATACTTTATGAAAATTAATACGGTTTAAGATACCCTGCCAATTAACACATCCCATGTATATTAGTAAAAAAAAGCTTCATTCCATTCCGAGAATGATCGGTAAAGTACATTTTCTTTTTCTTTACACAATGACAGATAGGGTAGTTCAGAGAGAATCTATTGCTCACAAGTCATTTAACAGAGTATTTGACGAAATTAAAAAGTAGAATTTACGGAACAGTAATTTACCCATCCAAAAGTGGGATGAAGTAATACATAATAAAACTGTTGGAGATGTGCGGATGTCAATAAGGCACTCGCTGGATCGGTCTTTCGAAAGGTTTCATTAATACCTCTCAAACGGCTTTCAGTCTGGAAATAGAAAAGGTATGAGAAAATCTATGCTACGCTGGAAAGAATATATTTTTAACATATTTTTTTCTTCCATGAAAAAAGAAAAGAATATTTGAAGCTTAGAGAAGTTTATCGGAATAATTCAAACTGTTTCTACAGATTTCTGCAGACTAAATCTGTTCAAAGGAAATAAACAGCTTTATAAAAAATGGTTCAAAAACACCAATCTTTCTTTCAATTAGCAAAAAATTAACTAATTGGAGATGTTAAAAACACATGCCTCATTTTTTGCAAAAGTCAGTTTAGCATAAAAAGCAGATCCAATAGTTAGTAATAAACTGATGATGATATAACTATTCAAGGTTGGTATTGGTGTATGCCGAGCAAGTGCCAATAAGCCATCAAATGGATCCAATGCTATCAGTGGCATTCTTTCCTGAAAATTGGATTTCAAAAAAAAGAAGGGGAAAAAAGACGGAAGAAAAAACCACCAGGTAAAGCTAGCCTTACTTGCGACATATTAAACTGAAAATACAATTTTTCTTCAATAAGATCAGATTTAATGATTTTCATGCCAAAAAATTTTTATTACTGCATGAAACTTTCCAAATGTTTTGAAATTTGACCAATTCTGTATCAAATTATACCACACCATAACATTATCAAATGATACATACAAATTTAACAGTCTCATATATTGATAATTTATTTAATTGACGCATAACTGTTTGACTATTTCTGACTAATGGCTCGTACTTAATGCTTTTAAATCATAAACTAACAATGAAAAATTTCATCAACGCATATAAACAATTCAAATCATCGTTTCACAACACAAAGAATATGAAAAATTTTGATAAAAGTAATAAAATAGAAGTTGACTGTAAAGGGAAGTGAGTAATGCAATTTGTCCTGCCATTTTCCTCATTAATGTAATTAAAGTAGTTCGACGCAAAATTATGGATGATAATTTGGGATAAACTTCGTGACAAAACACACGTGAAAACGTGTTACGAGCTGCATGAGAACAGCATTTCCACTTGTAATCTTGGACGGAAAAAAAAAGAGGAAATGGGAAGAAAGATCAATCCGATCAACTGATAAGGTGTATATACATGCAAACATACATACATGCAACACATACACATACACTTAACACACACACACATACATACACGTACACACGCACAGACACACACACGCACACACACACACGCACACACCGAACACGTCTTCGGATTGATATAAACAAGAAGGCGTTACACTCCGATGGCGCAAGAAAGCTGGTATATTTGACGCAGATGGCGCTAATTCAAATTTCAAGTAAGGATTTAATCGCTAAAAATTTGTTTCGTTCCCTCAAAACATATATTTCCGGGAGTACTACGATGGTTTCTAGAAGTGTCGGAGGGGATCAGGAAAAGTTTCCGGAAATACCAAATGTATTTTTGTGGTGCAAATGAAAGTGAGGAAATCATACCGAATTCGAATTAAACTCAAAATGAAGCACAGAAAAGAACAATTTCAAGGAAATAAAAATTTGATGATATATTGAATGAAAAATGAAAGTTGGAACATTCTCCCTTCCAGCATCAGAATTAGTACAAGTTATCGGGAAAACCTGAATGAAATAACTGGATGAAATTGAACGCTGATGACAAGAATCTTGAACAGGAAGGAATGCGCTAGGAGAAATGAGAGGAGACAAATAGAAGGAAGGAAAATTGATTAATAATGTTATCACTTTTTAAAAAACAGACTTCAGTACAATGTGACAATTACGGATATGCGATCAATTCATTTTCCGCTTTTTCTTTTTTCTATCATGAAATATTCAAATGTATTTCCAATGTAATTGGTACAAGATTTATTGGTATATGAACAATTGAATCTTTGTGGATAATGAGTAAGTTGGATATTTGATTGATAGATTGTTTTTTTTTTGAATTTTGATCAAAATGCGAGAAACATTAATGATCGTTATCAGTAATATGATAAGAGCATCACCCTAACTTCAATTAGATACCCAACTTATTTCTCCCCAATTAGTAAAACACGATGCCAAAGCAATGTAATTATCTAATCACCGTATCATTTCGTAACTATTCATCGGATATCTTCCGGAAAGAAACGATTGAATTGCATTGTTGTTATGGCTGTTAGACAAGTGATATGCATTAAAAGCTGCTGGAAGAAGCATTCACTAACTTCTCGACAATTTTCCAATCTTATCCGATAAAATTGAGAATGCGAAATTTTGATCATAGATGAAACTAATTATAAGGACTCTCGGAAGTACGTATAATTTATTTCCTGGTTTCCTGCTTCTCGAAAAAGTTCTTTGTTCTTTTCGAAATTTCTATTTATCTGGTTCCGGTTACAAATACGACAATATTTTTCATACCAGCTCACAATGCATCATTATTCCGGAAGCAATGAATCCCTAATCTTATCCTATCTATACATCCAAAATTTCGAATAAACACGAACTAGATAACTAGACAATATGTTGGAAATGGGAAATTTTCGAGATTTTTGATTCGCCGGAAAAGCTGTATGTGCTTTCGGTTTTACCCTTCTCTGAATTTCAGGTAGCACTTTTGCATTAATTGGCCATAAGCATACCCGGTGAAGTCAGCTGGATTATTTTCTGCAAGAAGTATATGAAGATCCGGGTTGAATCAGAAAGATGAAAACGGAAAAAATCTCCAAACTTTTTTCCCGATCCTTTTTGTCATTTATGAATAAATTATGTTCAACCATTTTTTTTCCAACTGTTTGGCATCTAGTCATTCGCTACCGTACATAAACTGCAAAAGTGACACATTACAGACAGATGATCTTCCATACATGACTTATCCGGTAAACTTGAGCAGATTTTTTCCAGTTTTCCCAATTTTTAGTATTAGAAATATGCTCAATTTTATCGTGGTAAACGAGCAGCTGTCCACATTCTCGACATCCAACTAATCCGGAATTCCTATTTTTTGCTATCGGCGAACTTCAGAAGATTAATATTGCCTAATATTTAAAACAATTTGAACTATTTCCTTCCGCATCCCACTGATAACACATATATAATTACGTCTTATCACAAGTGTTAATCACTTCCTTTTTTGAGTTTTTGGATTTTACATTAATTAACTTTATCATAGATTAGCCGGAAAGCAATCTTATATACAGAGCTTTTTGGAAAATCATGGTATACCTTCATCTTCCTTCTGACAGACTAATAGCCGAAATAACTATGCTGGAGAAGACGGAGATTATCTCCCCTAAATATTATACGGTTTTCAGTTTTCCTGACTACAAGGAAATCCATAATGGTCACCATAAAGTTGGGGCGAGTACTTAACACACACAGTATTGGAGTTGTATATTTTTTAAAAAAAATATATGTTTTACGATATATTTTAGAAAAATATGAATTATAAACTTGAATTCAAAAGGTTATTTTATAAAAGTAAAAGGAAAAAATACTTTGAAAAATGTGAAGATAAAGGAACAGGCATTTTCTGATATTAAGTATAATAGTAAAATCCTATTTGAAAAGCAAAAAAAGGAAGGATCAAATGTTACAAGTACCCATCTAAAAACATTTTTTATTCTTTACTTTTTATATTGATTTTCACTGCTCTGTAAGATGTCACAAAACAACATTTTGACAAATGAATAGGATGGAATAGTTTCCTGATAAACTTCACATTGCTAAGTGAGAACTTCCGTAAATTCCGGAATCTCTTCGTCTTTCCTTTGTTCTCGGAAAGGAATAGTATGATTTGATAAATGGTTCTGTTTTCTTATTTTGTTTCAATTTACAATGTTTGCTTCCAAATCATTTCACTTGCACTTTTCCATTAGAATTTTGCCACCTCATTCAAATTGAAAATTACATTTTTGATGACTGATAATCCGATGACTATCTACAAATTTGATATCATATTTTAAATCCAAGACAGTTTCCGGAAAACTTTATGCAAATCGGGAAAAAACTACCATTGTATGAAGAAGCCACCTGATTCAAGTCATTAACAGCGCTATATGAAACAACAATGGATTTAGGTTTGTGTATACATATTAAAATTTATTTAAGCATAAGCAAAGCACTAATTTAGCTGAAAAAAGTTTTTTATTATTTTCGGTAATTAGCCAAACACAAATGTATTGTTTGCATTCATAAGCCTATTATCATTCCCTCAAAATTTCACAATGTACATTAGAAAAGATTAATTGCGTACACTTATTATGAAGAAAATTAAGTGTCATTGCGCAGATTTTCAAATACCAAGAACAGATGAATCCGCAACGACACCATCAGCAATGATCGAATGATCAGTATTATTTGGTCCCTGAAAACTAATTCATAATCATTGATCGGGAGCAGACGATCAGATGTCAATGATAACATTTAACCAGCCAGTGAGTGGTTAGATTTACTGACGAAATTTTTATTTTAATATTCCTTTAAAGTTTATTTTAAATTCTGTTAAACTCTTATTTTTTTTATTTTTTAAGTTTTCAGCTATTTCAAAAAAAAGAGTCATTTCATGAGGGTAAGAAGAAAAATGTTGCCTAGACTAGGATAATATTATATCTTTCATCTTGATACAAATATCATCTATGCCTTTTTAAAATTAACATGCGAAGGATGATAATTTGATAAAATTAATATGGAGACACTAATTTGATAAAATCTCCCTGAACCATTCAATATAAATGATTTTTGGTGTAAAGGGTACTTAATGGGACTTCATTTAGCCTTTGCATCCTGTTTAAACTAAATTATCAGCAGTTCGAAACAACAAATAATAACAACAAACAAATAGTAAATAATATAGATGGTGTTGGCACTCTTAATGACAACTAATTAATTGTAGTATATTTACAACTATAACGTATGTTATTGTAAAGCTAATTAGCTTATGAAAAAAATCTAGCTGCTGTTGATAGTAAATATTTTCATACATTCTTAAGAAGCCTAATTTCCTAACAAGTTCTTGAAAAGACACAAATGTTGAGAAAATTCTAAAAATTTTGGTAGCAAAAATCTGATGGAATGTGTAAACTAGCCATTTAAAGCAATAATGATAAAAATAATAACCATAATAACAGTAGTATTGACATCGATTATGATAATTATAGTGATGATGATGATGATTATGTTAGGAAATGCTTACTTGGTTTGAAATTTTCTTCCAATGTTCTTTGGCGTTCAAATATTTTTTACATCGTAATACCAAATAAATAGCGAAACCTTGAGCTATTGTGAAAACAAGCTGCAACAAATTAAATGTCAAATAAAATTAAATGTCAAACAAATATGTCATATGAAATGAATGATTTTGTTTGGAGTGTTTTTAAACAAAGAAATATTTGGAACTTCGAACAAATTTATGAGCAACTAACACACATATAAACTAGCCAACCTGGAAAACAATCCAACCGAAATCATAAAGGACTTGGCCATGAATCAATTGTCGAGCATCCATTATGGTAGCAATGACGGTGATTGATGAAGCAATAATGGTGATTGATAAAAAAATAACATTAAGGACAAAATTGGTACAATAGAAGATGAGAAACGGTGTCAGGTACCTTTTATTCTCTCGATGAATCCCGTAAAATAGCAAATAGTGGCATGGTAATCCGAAGAATAGTGCAAATATCAAATCTACTGAAATTAAAAACTGACACTGAATTAATTAACTTTAAAGAAAAACTTAACTATGCTTTTCTATCACCCATTGCTGGAAAACTGTCATTATTTGTCGCCAAATGTTCGGCTGAATTCAGTGGAACGAATAGATATTTTAATAGCAAACTTTAATATTCTCTTTAAAAATTGAAGAAAATTTCCAAATTTTTCTATTCATCAATTTTTCCATTTCAAAAAAAATAAATAAATTTTTAAATTACCCAAAAAGACCAAGATGAATACAGATGCTTTATAAGACTTGCCTAGTTCAAGATGATCGATGAAATAATTCCTTCCCTGTCCTCGTTGATGGTAAAATGTGTAGATAATACAAAATGTGATTGTCACCATTAAACCAATTGTTGCTGCAATTGTTGCACCCAATACGACATGAATATTGGTCCCAAACAGCATGAATTTGGAAGATTTCTCACGGAAAACAATAATATCCGTATCACCATTCCTGAATTTTCAATATCTTTCCATCTATTACATGTTTGCTGCATTTTTGAATAAGCACTTTTTTCGAATTTCTCTTAAGTTATTTCACTTTCCGGATTATGCTATGATTCTAAGGAATTTTAGCATTTCCCGAAATCCATTTCATTTTTTAATTTTTGTATAGGAAAATGAGAAGAGAGAATGCAAAATGATGCTGTTTTTCTTGCACATATCGATTGTAAAAGCAAGAAAAACTACGCCCAAATAAATACTTCCATTTCTTTTTTTTTTTTTTTTAGTAAATTCACCAAATTAGGATATAAAGTA